AACGGCCGATTATCTTGTATATTCAGCCAAAGGGTTATTTAGATATAAGATATGATATTTTTGAAACCACTATGTAATCAAAACCAGTATAACTATAGTTAAATATTTTCTAGATTTATAATGCCCATTATAGCTTGTGGTCATACCAACTGTTAGTTTCGCCATAATCACTCTAAAGGAATTAACTTTTATTCCATTGTTCACTTCCTTTTTTCTAAGACTGAGTGTTGATGCTATTCCAAGTATGCGCATCAAAACCAGAAACTGTTAGAGCGCTTTCCATTAGGGACTGGTCATAAAGTATAACGGGGGGTGGGTGTGGGGGCAAAATCAGGGGGTGGGTCACATAATTTTGAACTCCTTCAAAGGGGTGGGCTGTTGATAAAATTTGACAACTAAAAAGGGTGGGCCATTACAAAATAGAGTAGTATTATAATTGTAATCATCAGAATTTCTCAAGAAAATTTTCAGTTGCAGAGGATCTGCTTAGGAAGAATGTACAACATGTGTAGTTCCTTCGAATTTAAAAAATGAAAAGGGCAAATGAAAAGAAAAAATTAAGGAAGCAGAGAAACTTAAAGCATACGAAGACTATGACTGGAAAGACACTGACAAGAAATGCTTAAGAAGCAGAGGGTTGCAGTCTTGGACCTCTTTTTAAAAAAGCACAACTTGCTCAAGCGCAAAATGTACAAAAGTGAGAAAGTCCAAGTAATAAATGCTGGGCTGTCTTACAGCTTCTAAATACTACGACAAGTACAACAGAGGAAGAGCATGAAGAAGATGGTACTTGATCACGCGACGACACTGAAGATGATGATAATTCATATGAGGACACTAATGAGGATACTGAAGATTTGGATAGCGACGAAGAAACTGACATTGTTACTCATGAAATAGGAATTACTGATAGTGAGAAAAACGATGACAGAGAAAGAAGAAGCCGAAACAGTCAATGTTACAATAAGTGGTAGACGTGTGCAACCAAGAAAATTCTTTTGGGATTTAGATTTTTTTAGGGGTGGGTCATCTGCAATTTTGCTTCTAAACTGGGATTGAGTCATCCCATTTTCAGCATCATTTTTTGATGGGTCAAGATAAAAAAACACTGATTCTATTCTGATTTTGCTCCCCCC